TTAGGGCAACACAGGCTGACTAAGTCTGCTCACCTAAGAGTGCAAGAGTCTAAGCAGGCAACAAGGGAAGTGGAGTAGACCTGATGACTAAGACCTATCTACAGTATAGGTACCTGTGGATGATCCTAAGAGACCAAGTCTGAAGAGACAGTCCCAGGCAGAGTAGGCCTTATATTTATACCTCTGTGGTGGAACCTGCTAGAACATCTTGCTTACTCAGCCTAGTCAGGTGATCAGGTCATATGACCAAGGATGAGGTCATATGAGGTCATGCACAGCCATGCACAGCAGGTCACCTGACCATCCAATCCTTCCAGCAGGTTCCAGCACATGCCAAGGTATACCAGCTACTTCCATGTCATAAAGGCTTAGTCATGTCTCTTGACCAAGCAATGAGCTGGTGCCCTGACACATTCCCATCTTGCATGTTTCTCACTCCTTTGATGAGAATGATGTGTGGTGGGATCTGGCCTAAGGGAAGATCACAGATTAGCACATTTGATAATATCTGAGAGAATAAACCAACATTATAGTATGCCACTGGCCTCAGCCACTTGAATGGCAAAAAAAAAGTTTCTCAGGGTTGGGGTAGAAGGTGAGGAAGGGTTAGGGATGCAGTAACCTTACCCTGCTGATGTAAGGGAACAGGGTTCAGTGCACAGCCGCTCCTGGGATGGCACACAGCCGCTCTTAAGCAAGTGGCTGTGATGCAAACAGGTCACAGCCACTGGTAGAAACAGATGCATCTGTTTCTAGTGGTGGCTATGAGATCAAGGAGCAAAAGCCTCAGGGGCTGTGGGAGCAGGGGTTTAAAACCCCGGGGCCCCATGCTGGCATTTTTGCATGGCAGCCATGTGCTTTTTTGCACATGGAATTGGCTCTGTGCTTCTTGCCATTTGTTTCAGTATAGTTAATATATATCCCTGGGCCACATAAGTGGCTCAGGTCTTTGTAGGGAGGAAATGTCTGCTAATGTGGCTGTGTCATGTGGATGCATTACTCAGCCATGTATGGTAATCAAATCACATCACTTCCACCATGGCATCAGGGACTGATATCAGTGTTCTGCCTTCCACTGGATGTCTTCCTTATAGTTCAATTCATGTCATTTTATCTGCTTTGTGCTCTATTACCCTTCTGCTTTTCTGCATCATATGCCTGACTTGTGCATGAAGGGACATAATGCATGTGGTTGATCTTGTGCCAGGTGGTTGGTTTTGTGCTGGTCTGTATTCATCTGGAGGCTGTTCTTGCGCTTCAGTACACAATTCCATTGTTTATGGATGGCTTTCCTGTTCAGCTGATGATGGCTGTCTGCTCCTTGCTAAGTCTGCCATAGTTGGCTGGTTTGGTTGCCATTGCAACAAGCAAAAAGGGCTCATGTGAAGGAACACCTGGTGCCAGGCGGTTCATTTTGTGCCTCGGTCCATATTCATGACAACACTGTTCTTCTGCTTGTCAACACAATTCCAATATTCATGGATGTCTTCCCTGTTCAGCCATTGATGGCTGTCTGCTGCTTGCTGAGCTGTATGTTGCATGGCTTGTGTGTTAAATGCAGTTAACCAGACTTTAGATTTTACACATCAATCTGTCAGCTTACACAAGCTCAACAGGACATATGCATTTGAGTCTGTTTTGGTGTCCCCCCAGTCAGTCACTGAGCTTTCTGATATTCATGTTCTTGCATCTGTCCAGCATATATTGGGATCTTTCAACTTTTTTTCTCTTGAACATATGTGCCAGATCTGCATCACCCTCAAAGTACCTTCCTTACGCTGAGCAACAAAATGGAGAGCAATAAATCATTTACTCCTCCACACACACAATGTCCCTGCTCCATTATATTGGTGATTCTCATTAAGATCAGCACGTGCATATGATGGTGTGGGTCACAAGGTTGCATTTATGGTGCCATGCCAGTGCACTTGAAATGAGGAAGGTGTCAATGAACGATTGTCTCAAAGAAGGCACACTATATCACCTGATCCGCCTTCCAATCCTGCACCAGATTTCCTTCCCGTTTACAACAGGGTTCTCACAGAACAAATTATATCCAAATATCAAGACTCTACATCACCTGAGGCTTTGGTTAGAGATACATGTGGATGTTGTGGAGAAGGATTCGCAAAAACAATGATGTGCATGGTCCCTGTCAAATCTGATATATTACAAAATCCTCATCTTCCTGCACACCTGCACCTGAGGGGTTACAATTTTTCTCTTTACCATGAAGCAATTTTGGAGCCATCTGCCCTATCCTGCCCGGACAAGTTCTCCGGCAATATTCTTCTGTGTTCCACATGCGCCTCTTCCTTGGCTCAGGGCAGTATGTCATCACTTGTGCTGTCCAATGGATTTTATTACACATACAAACATGTCCCCTCAGATGTTGAAGATGCTTTCTCCTGAGCCACCTTTGTTGATCAGCACCTGGTTTGTTGATGTACAGCATCAAAGATATGTTTTTGCTACACAGACAACCCGGAAAGCCAGCTGTACCATTTGTATTTGAGTGGTGTGCAGCATTATTCTCAAGGAAATGCCATTGTTCTCCTGCAAGATGTTGCAAAGCTGGACAATGTGCTGCCTCCATGTCTGGATGCAGTACATGATAGTTTTGTTGTCATCTTTGCAGGGCAAGAATTGCTGATGCCAGACGTTGTCCCAAACTGGGCCCATTGAAGGCAAACACATCAATTGTGCACATGATCATCTGATTCTTGCTGCATGAAAACAAGGCTTATTCATGTATCACTGCCAATTTCCTGCTTGGTGCAATTTTTTCTGAGGAACATTTCCATGACCTATTTGGCTCCTTCCCTGATGATGGGGATGGCATTACATTCCCAGGGTTTCAGCTCAAACATGTGCAGCATGATGATGTGCAAGGTGCAACAGAATCAGACATGTTGGGCCACAACATTTTCAATGGCCCTAATGTTGGTGTCCAGGATTTTGTTATTGAATTGTCTGGCTTTTGTGTGACAGACAGATCCAGCTCAGTGTATGACACAATGAAGGCTAAAGCACTGGTGCATTGTCTGGACAATGAAGGCAATTTCATCATGTCCAGAAGAAGTAATTGCCCAGTACATGATTTGAGAAACGAGTACACATTGACTTGGATGTTCCCTCACTTGGACCCCTTTGGGCTTGGAGGTTTTGACAATCCTCAGTGGCAGACACCTGTTTCAATGTTGTCCCAGCTCAGCCATCTGTTGCGGCTGGTGCATGGTCGATTCAAACACAATCCTGTGTTTGCTTTTGTGTCTCACAACATCTTACAATGGAGAGAAGTGGTCCAACTTGTACACTTCCAAATTCTGGACCATGACACAAACACATCTTGCGCAATTTGAGATACATGGATCCTGATGTGTTGCAAAATCTGGCTCATCACCTACAATCAAATCCAAGGTCAAACCCAAAGTCAGATATCAAAGTTGAGGCTCTACAGATCTTGTGCCAGGTTCAAATGTTACAAACAAGTGTTCCTGGTAGCAACGTGTATAAGAAGGGGAGAAGAGATGAGATATGAGCACTTGTGTACCAGCTAGGATCTCCAGTGTTCTACATTACAATCACTCCAAACAACATCGACAGCTATGTTTATCAATTGGCGCTGAATGACTCCAAGCTTGCACACACCATCTGTGCTGGCACATCAAAAGAAAGTCACTTTCACCAGGCAATGAAGGTTGCCAAACATCCTGCCATCACCACACACATTTTTCATGAAACTATGGTTCATTTTCGAGATATTATTTTGTGCCTGAATTGAGGACCCAGACTTTTCAGCACTTACACCAGCTGGTACAGTATGGTCGAAGCTCAAGGTCGCAGAATGCTGCACTGCCATATGCTTGTGTGGATACCTACACCAGCAACATTGCACCAATGTGGGGCTGGCAATCCATTCTTCAGGCAATCCATGTTGGATTGGCTGCATAAATTGATTCACAGCAAGCTGCCTGGCCAAACTACCATTGTTACCAAGGTTGATGGCCCCTTGCCACCTCCTCTATTAAGCAAAGATGCACTAGATCCTCGCACTTCTCAAGGCCTGGTCATATCTTCTCTTGTGGGCATCAAGGGCACTGTTTTCTCAAACTGTGTTTGAGAAATTGTTGTTTGCAACAATTGGCATGTTCACTCCATGACTTGTTGGAAGAACCTCCACAAAGGTGAACAAAAGGTCAATGTGAACTGTCGAATGCAAGTGGATGGGAAGACTTGTCTGACATCCAAATTTCATGCTGACACCAGGTCAATTGTCTTGCATTGAGATGTTATTTTTGTCTTTGAAGATCCAGCATTTTTTATTGCTTAGTGCACCAACAGGTGCATCGGCTGTTGTCATTGCGGGTTATACTATCCACTCATTAACCAGATTGCTGAGGAAGGTTGGTTTGAAAGATAATATCAGCTACCTGCAAGACATCTGGCGCATGGTATCTTGGTTGATCATTGATGAAGTGTCCATGATCTCTGCACAGTTTATGTGTCAGATTTCCAACCAGATCAGGATTGGGAAAAAGGCAACAGGAAATGCACTATTTGGCAGTATCAATGTCATTTTTACTGGCAACTTTGGGCAACTAAAACCATTCGGGGCTGCACTGCTCTACAGCCATCAACTAGTGCACCAGGTCATGCCGAGAACAAGCCTGTCAAATAAGGGGCAGGACATGCTGCTAGGTGCATGGTATTGGAGGCAAGTGAAGGAGGTAGTTATTCTGCATCATAACCTGCACCAGGATCAAGATACTGCCTGGGCAAGCTTGTTGCTCCATGTTTGGATGGGATGCACAAGGAATGGAAAGCCTTCAACAACCTCTCCCTTTTGAAGTGAAGAAGCATGGTACAATGAGTCAGACTACAATGTTCTTCATGCAAGGTGTCTGCAAATGCTTTGCAAAACAAACAGTCCCAACCCAGATCTTTTTGACAACATGCCTGTTATCATCACAATGAAGACAATGCATGATGCAATCAACTTTTGGCTCACTGTGCAACATGCACATCATTTGAATGCTTCTTGTCATGTCTACTTTGTGCAAGATTTCTCAAAGAATGAAGCAATCATAGGTGCCGTACAGGAAATACTATGGATGCTTCCTTCAAATCATACAGACAATGCACCTTGTTTCATGCCACTGTTTGAAGGCACCCATGTCATGATTACAGAAAATTTGGCATTGTCCAAGACTCTCATGAATGGGGCTACAAGGACTGTGACCAGGATATGATATACAGTTGACACACACAATTGGTGCTATGCTACTGCAGTCATGGTCCAGATGCCTGGAGGCAATTTTGTGCATGAAGGATTGGGACCCAACATTGTTTGCATTCAACCAATTCAATGAAGTTTCAAGTACACATCTTGCACAAATGGAAATACAACATTGCACGCTATAAGCAGGCTGGCTCTTCCCCTTCTCCCAGCATATTTGTACACTGACTACAAAAGCCAGGGCCAATCCGTCAACCATGCAATTGTCGATCTTTGTGGGTGTCAGTCCCCACAGAGCTTGTATGTCATGTTGTCATGATTGTGGACACTTTCTGGTTTGCGCCCATTGCCAGACAAGATGCTGTATACAAGCCCTCCTTCAGATCTTTGCAGCAAGTTTGTGCAGCTGGAATACCTTGCATCTGAAACTGAACTATGATATCTGCTACATTAGGAGGCTGACACTCAATACCATACAAGCACATGATCAAGTCAGGAAGACTGTTGGAAGTGAGGCTGGCTGGCACACAGTCAGCCATTTGTGGCTGGTTCTGAACAATCCTGCCTTCCCCACCCCATAAATACTCCGTATCCCACACAGTACACCATCACATTCATCTCTTTCATCTGGTGCCATGTCATCAACAAAACGCAAAGAAGCCCCATCTGCACTTGATACCCACATGAGAAAGAAGTGGCAAGTTGGCCTCACATCCCATTGTTTGCGGCTAATTGGTTTCCAGTACTTGCCATGAAATTGCTCCAGCTGCACATGCTGAAGGCAATGGATGCTGAAGGCAATGGACACCAATTGAAGGAAGACCACATGCAACATCATTGTATGGATTCAACGGAGAAAGATAGCTCACCAGGCAATGATATCAAGATCCTGTATGATACAAACTTGCTACAGCAGATTGTGCAAATTCGAGAACATTCAGACCATGTGCATGGTATCTATTATGTATCTCAACTCCCGGATAACCTTTCTTTCACACCATGTGCAGGGAGATGCTGAAGACATCCCAAACATTCTTCTGGCACAAGACAGTTTGTTCTTGTGCAACATTCTATGCTTGCCAACAAGGAAGCTCATATGGAGCGCCTGCAACAGGAGGTGACTCAGCTTTGACACCAACTGGCACGAGCTCTGGAAGATTTACATGTTGAAAGGGCCATCAACGCAGACAATGCTGCGCTCATCACTTCTTTCCATGCTCATGCTTGTACATGGCATGACCCTTTCATTATCCGTTAGCTACACATATATTACAGGCTTGCATAACATTACACAAAGTCATGATAATTACATATACATGGATCTTGTGCATGATAGTGTGGCTTGTGCTCACAACTTATACTACTGCAACTGTTGACATCTCAATAAACTTCAATGCAATCCACATCGGCCGTCCCTTCTGTTTGCCAACCTTGTCTGACTCAGCATGGATTACAATGGCATATTTCTTGTAAGGAATCAAGAGGATCTTCTGCCAATAGAACTGGTTTTCCTGTGTCACGATCAGTGTCTTGCACAAGGTTCTTCTTCTGATTACCTCTTTAGAATCCTGCCAGCTATGCATTTGCAGTGCTGACTGCTGGAAAAGACCGGTGGAAGTGTCGTTGAAAGCATTGACCCAATGTTTCCCAGTTTCATCCTCAATCTCCACATTGAGCCTATACCTGGTGCAAAGTTAGTAAAAACTTGCGAACTTGAGTGTGAACTTACTTGATACCTGGTGCAATGTATGGCAGATCACAAGAGGGGCAAATAAACATGTTACCAATCTTCTGAACAGGAATTTTCTTATTTCAATCTTCATAAGGGCATCCTTCATATATGTGGTACTTGAAGTCCTTGACCAGCACCTTCACAATAACCTTGAACATCTTCTTTGACCTAAGCCTGAGCTTTGCATCTTGTGCTGCTTTGATCATAATAATCTCATTTGGGATGGATATGTTGGCCTCAGGAAACCCATCTGCTGAGAATGAGCTGGTGATTGTCCACCACTCCTTCAGGTCTGCATCTCTGTACCTGGCGCAAGTTAGTCTCAATGGCACCATGTTATATTACCACATGCACCATTCCATCAGCCTTTCATATCTGAGATTGGCATCTTGAGATATGAATTGCATGCATCCCTTGTGCACTTTCAAGCATGGACCATCCAACATATCAATGACAATGCCCTTAATCCCAATCACCCTGTTTTCCGCATGCTTGAACATGTTCTGGAACTGATTTGAAGACACAAAGACAGATGGCGACCTTCAAATTGTTGACCAGCCACACTGTAACAGTGAGGGGTTCTGAAGTGTCCAATACGTTTCATCAATGAAATCTTAACAGGCAGAATATTATAGAGTAGCGTAAAGTGAGGTGAGTATTATTAGGATAGGAAGTAATACAGAGAGTAAAGGGGATTGGACACCTCAATCCTCTTGCTCGTCGTCTTCCATGAATGGCAATGATGGGCAAAGAAAGAGGAGTGAAGAGGGAAAGGGGGAGGGGGAAGACGCATCTTAAGGACATCATGAGCTACTGTATGGAGGCTGATTACCTAGCCCCTCCTTCCATCATCTTGACATCACCACATTGTCACCCTTATCACACCATTGTCACAAGAGCCCCCTGGGTAGGAAATCAGTCTAGTAATCATCGCTGTCGTCCCCATCCAGACCTCAGTGAGTGACTCCTCCCAAGGGAATCAGGTGATGTTTGTTGTCTGACTCTGCATTGATGGAGGATACTAGTCCCAATTCTTTGATTCTATCCTTGAACAGTAAGACAGCTAGGAAGGCATTGATGTGGCCTTCCTTCACTAGCTGCTTATTTTCCTTATTCCACAGTTCCTCCATCCATTCCCAGTGTTCCATACCTTTGGGTTCTGGATTGCCAGGATGATTAACAAAGTACCCAGCTCAAGGCCACAGGGCAAGGTGCCATGTTTTGTCTGAAGCTTGAATCGCATGTTGAAAGTCAAAGGCCACCCATGGCCCTTTTGCATGGGCTCAGTCTGACCAGCGCCAATTAGCATAATTGCTCAATACAGTGACAACTGACTTGAACTTTGCAGTAACATCTTCATTGTTCATGAGCTCTCAAATAGCGCCATTGCAAAAGGAAATTGCCTTGAAGTATTCCTCTTGAGGTATGCACATTCTTGGCACCCATTTGAGAGAATACTGATGTTTCAATGCTTTGGTTTGCCAGATTTGCATTACCAAAATGGAGCTGTCTAACCAGCGGCCAGAGTCATTGTTTGACTCCCAGAAATAGGGCCTTTTGGGGCTGCCTTGCCCATTATCAAAAAGTATCTGACCAGCTGCTGCAAGGCAAGAGGACCAATGCTCAATCTCCAATCGAGAAGTTCCGGGAACAAGCTGAATGGGTGCTTTTGCTATGGGCTCACATGGCATAGTGGGAAGCCTGGTCGTCCCCTCCTGGCTTTGGGGCAAGCTTTCATGAGTGTTGTAAGTAGTGCTGACTTCAAAGGGGGCAGTGTCCCAAGTGTCAGAAACCATAGACTGGGCAGCAGGGGCATGCCATTCCCTGACCATGTCCAAGGTAGATTGCAAGTCTGTCAAGCAGCAGGTGGAGGGCTGGGGGTTTTGGGAAGGCAGGGGAGCTATGTTATGTGGCAGCATCCACTCCCATCTATTTGAGGTTGAGCAGGATGACTGCCATGTACTCTTGTTGTACTTCCAACTGTCATTCCAAAATCCTCCATCCATGTTTTGATGGTGATTTGATCTGCTGTACACATACTCTTTGCTCATATAAGAGCCATATTTTGGGTTGGAGTAACGAGCCTCAGCATGTGGATGTAAATGATGCAATGGGGCATCTTGCTGATATGAATGATCAGTTGGCCTCTTATGAACAGAGGATGTCTTGGCCTGGAGTTGTGTATCCTGTAATAAGCAGGAGGAATTAGCAAAAGGGATTTCCTGGCTGACAGTGGAAAGTGTGCCTCATTGACTGCCTGAGGGTGAAGCCAGTAACTCAACTTGAGAGATGGAAACTATCTCATCCATGTGGAGTTCAGGCTGTTTTGCTTCAGCATATGATGGGCTTGGATGTGTTTTGTCAGTGGTGGTGGCAACAGTCTTGAGGGGAGCTGTCAGGATGGCAGGGAGATCTGAGGTGAGCCTTAGCATGACAGAGTCCGGACCCTGACCAGGCT